AAGTGAAGCAACTGAAGGAACTCATAGCATACTCAACAAAACCGGGGTGCCTGGAGGGAGAAGCAGAGGGAAGACAGAGAGGAGCAGAGAGGCTTTACATAGCTGCAGGGCTCCAGACCCAGGTGCCCTGAGTTACTACAATCAAGCGGCTGGATGCAGCACAGCCACACCCTCTCAAGATGAACCCATAGGGGCATCACATGCTCATAAAACTTATTTTCAATCAGGAACTTTGTTGTAGTAATTTACAGTCTTGTCAGGAATAACCAGAACCAAACTGATGAGTTAGGCAACTACAACTGTTTACCTGAACTAGATGTTTCCTGAACAGATGGAGCACAAGAGAACTCATAACCACATTTGCAGAAGGATAGATATTGCTCTTTACTTTACTTTTTTTTTTAATGTGTTTCTCCCTTTTAGGTTATACCTACAATTAAAACGGAGTCTATAAAATACATTTCTGACTATTGTATTTTTGTCTACACAGACTAAAACTAAAGTTTAAAGGAACCTTCATCCATTTTTAAAAGAACATTATGTTTACAACCTTCACCTCCATCCTGTCCACAAAGTAATTATCTGGATAAAGTTGGATGAGGAATTCAGACTGAGTGACTTATTTTGCTATACGAACACATATGTCGATATAGTAGGGTATCTGAACATAAACTGCCCTTAGTGCCTCTACTGATAACTAATCGGCTAGAATTCAACAAGAGAAAGATAATGCAGACAACATGCACTGCAAAGACAACGGTAGTGGCCATAATTGTCAGCTGTCACACTTTGCAAACAGGTAACTCTGGTTAAATAACATACAAGTAGGTGTTTCTGTTCCTGATAACAATAGCCCTGCAAAGATAATCACAGAAAATGTAATTAATGCCCGTATAGAGGAACAGTAGATCAGGTCAATGCTTCCCACACTATTAAACAGTGTTCTATTTTGATGCTTAGACACAACAAAGAAAAAATAAGAGAAATCCATTAGAAGGACAACTGGAATAGTAAAATAGGGAACGCTAATGCAGACTCACTCTCTTGGGAGTCATTTTGGAATCTAAGAACATTACAATTTTAAAACAAAAAAAAAAACATTTATGAAATACCTGGAACTATCTTCTGAAAGGAACTGTGTAAATATGTGTTTTGGAGAGAAAGGGCAGAATCCTTATACTGGTGTATATTTTGCAGTGTATACCTCTCTGGAAAATGCTGTCCGTGATATTGCTAAATCCATAATAATGTTAACCAATATACAGAACCTATGGTTTTAATTACAAATGATGTGATAGAGTTGCGGTTATACAGAAGGCTTGCTGTAAGTAAGATTTCAAAAAGTATGAAGAGGAAAGCTATTTTCAGATTTATAAACACAAGTGACTTATGCCCCTATTAAATATTCTATTAAAAGAAACCAGGTTGGATATACAGTATAGCTGATGAAAAATTAAATAGATTAAAAAAGTGAATCATCAATTTTGCCAAAAAATTGTTGTGTATTTTCTTATTTTCTTATGTTATATCCTAATGCAGTCCTTTCTCAAAAGTACCTATTAAAGGAGAACCAGACTTAGCAAACAAACAGAAAGCCAAAACACTTAATTGAATAACTATTCCAAAATAGTAAATGTTCACACATATAAGGTATGACACATTTTGGCCTTATACTGTACTTGATTGCATGTTGCTGATTTTTGGATTTGAGACAACTAGGTACAGGTGTTATAAAACGATTCAAATGTGAAGAAGAGAGGGTATTAAAATTGTCTTTATAAAAACTAAAAAAGGACCAGCATTAGTGTATTGTAGTATGATTTAGACCTTTAAAATACCACTGAGTTAAATGAGGAGCAAAATGACTAAATAGAAAAAAGTGGTGTTACTAAAAGAATAGTACAACACTTGCATAACAACTTTCTCATTCCTTTTAGACTAACCTCTAGAAGAGAGTCAGGTTCATCCAGGATGCTCTTTTCACTCTGTATCCGCTGCATCGTCCCTGTAGAACTGGGGTCCATTATCAGCACGTTCTGACTACCAGCTCTGCCGAACTTGCAGTCACTTTTTCTGGAGTCAGTCGTCCTGCACACCTCGTAATTGTACACGTGTTGGAGAGTCCCTGTCCCCAAAGTGTCTGAGTAACGTGGAGGATAATAAGGAATCACAGGGAGATTGGAGTGAAACATGATGCGAGACTGTCTCCACCTGTAGATCTTCACTGATATAATAACCACTAAACACGTGATGAAGAGGAAGGACACTACAGCCAGAGCCAGCACTAAGTAAAAAGTCAGGTTGTCATTGTACTCCTTGTCCTGTGTAAAGTCAGTGAACTCAGACAGCACTTCCGGGAAGCTGTCACCCACCACCACGTTAACAATGACTGTAGCTGAACGAGAGGGCTGCCCGTTGTCCTCCACTATAACAGTCAGTCTTTGTTTCACAGCATCTTTATCAGTCACCTGGCGGATAGTCCTTATTTCTCCATTCTGTAAGCCCACTTCAAACAGCGCCCTGTCTGTGGCTTTCTGCAGTTTATAGGAGAGCCAGGCATTCTGTCCAGAGTCCACATCAACAGCCACCACTTTAGTGACCAGATAGCCCACATCTGCTGAACGAGGCACCATCTCAGCCACCAGAGAGCCACCAGTCTGGACTGGGTACAGGACCTGAGGGGGGTTGTCGTTCTGGTCCTGGATCAGTATTTTCACAGTCACGTTGCTACTGAGTGGAGGAGAGCCTCCATCCTGTGCTTTGACCCGGAAGTGGAAGTCTTTGATCTGCTCGTAGTCAAAAGAGCGCACTGCATGGATGACTCCACTATCAGCACTAACAGACACATATGAGGAGACTGCCACTCCGTTAACAGAGGAGTCCTCCAGGATGTAAGAAACACGGGCATTCTGGTTCCAGTCAGCGTCTCTGGCTCTCACTGTGAATATAGAGAGGCCTGGTGTGTTGTTTTCTACAATGTAGGCCTCATATGAGCTGCTCTCAAAGACAGGAGCGTTATCATTCACATCAGAGATCTGTAAGGTGAGAGTGACGCTGCTGGAGAGGGAGGGCACTCCCTCATCGGAGCAGGTCACTGTTATATTATACTCAGAGGCTCTCTCTCTGTCCAAATCATCGTTTGTTCTTATGCTATAAAAACCATTCGAAGTATTTTCAATATCAAAAGGCACAGTGTCACTTAGAAAACATTTAACTACTCCGTTGTTATCTGAGTCAGCATCATGCACAATTATAACAGCAATAACTGTTTGAAACGTAGAATCCTCCGGTATTGATTGTGTAGTTGACATTAAATCAATTACCGGAATATTATCATTCAAATCAACAATGTCAAATACTATTTTGCATGAGTCAGTGAGCCCACCCTGATCTCTTGCTTTAACGTCCAAGTTATAATGTTTCGATGTCTCATAATCTATTTTGCCAATCAAACGTACCTCACCACTTGTTCCATGTATTTCAAATAAATCCAAAATTCCCTCTGTGTTACTGGAAATAGAGTACGTTACTAAACCATTTGTGCCTTGATCTCGATCAGTGGCTGTCACAGTCATTAATGACGTTCCCTTCTGGGAGTTTTCCATTAAGCTTGCTTTATATGTTGACTGCGTAAACACCGGAGAATTATCATTCGCATCTAACACAGTTACGTGAATTTGCACTGTGCCTGATAGCTGAGGATCACCTCCGTCGACGGCTGTTAGTGTTAGAGTCAATTGTTCTTGTTTCTCACGATCGAGAGGTTTCTCCAAAACCATCTGTACTTCTTTGTCCCCATCTGCGTTGCTGTTAAATTTTAAAATGAAATTATCGGTTGGGTTGAGGGAATAACTTTTGAGTCCGTTTATACCGACGTCATAATCTAATGCTTTTTCTAACACAAATTTTGCCCCGATGACAGCAGATTCGCTTATCTCAAATAGCATATTATTCATTTTAAATAAAGGGGCGTTGTCGTTTATATCTGTTATTTCTAACGTAACGCGATAAAATTCAATGGGGTTTTCCAAAATGATTTGAAAATGTAAAGCACAAGGGGTCGTTTGTTTGCATAACGCTTCTCTGTCCATTCTCTCTTTGATGAGAAGGACCCCCTTTTCTCTATTTAACTCGATGTATTCAGCGGTGTTTCCAACATGCAAGCGAGCTTTTCCTGTTTTCAATCGTTTTAAATCCAAACCTAAATCTTGTGCTATGTTGCCGATCAACGAGCCTTTTGACACTTCCTCAGGAATAGAATAGCTGACCTGCCCAAGCACGGAACAGAGAGAGAGCATTGAGAAAAACAACAGTACTTGCCGTCTCATTGTTTCGTTTAACGGTTCTGGATGATCACAGCAAATCAGAAAATAATCCGAAAAGAAGGACAGTTGTATTCCAAACACTTGAGGACTGAGAAATAAGAGGCGTCGACAAACAAATGTTGATCAAATGATGTCCAACTCCTTTGCTCGTATGCAGTGTTCTCGATAATTCGAACCGTGCATTGTCTCGACCTCGCTTCTCACAAATCTAAATGATCAGGGAGGTGCTGCTGAAATATGCAGTCAAACTACCACACACTGGCCAACAGCGTCCCTAAGAGTGCAGAACACTGAACTGCACAAGACAGGGACATTAAGGGGTCTAAGCATTGTATTGCTTTTGTGGGACAATTCTACGTATCGAAAAAAAAGAAGATACATGGAAAAATATTTAAAAGCAATAAAAGAACAGATGTGTATTACTGAGACCATGTATGTCAACTGTATGCCTCTAGTTGCAGCTGGTAGTATACGCAAAGACACACAAGTTTGCTGGAAGCCGAATAAAGATATTGGAAAACAGAGCTCCTGCAGAAATCCATTAACCTCAAAGAAAATTCGTCTAGCGCTGTCCGTGGTGCTATAACCAATGTATCCCATTGGAGAAACTCAGCTTAACAACAAAACATTGAACACGGTTATATATACACTCTTCCAATTTTTTTGCTTGAATAATTAAAAGAATGACTGCTTTGCAATGAAATAACTAACCTCTAGAGGAGAGTCTGGTTCATCCAGGATGCTCTTTTCACTCTGTATCCGCTGCATCGTCCCTGTAGAACTGGGGTCCATTATCAGCACGTTCTGACTCCCGGCTCTGCCGAACTTACAATCACTCTTTCTGGAGTCAGTCGTCCTGCACACCTCGTAATTGTACACGTGTTGGAGAGTCCCTGTCCCCAAAGTGTCTGGGTAACGTGGAGGATAATAAGGAATCACAGGGAGATTGGAGTGAAACATGATGCGAGACTGTCTCCACCTGTAGATCTTCACTGATATGATAACCACTAAACACGTGATGAAGAGGAAGGACACTACAGCCAGAGCCAGCACTAAGTAAAAAGTCAGGTTGTCATTGTACTCCTTGTCCTGTATAAAGTCAGTGAACTCAGACAGCACTTCCGGGAAGCTGTCAGCCACCACCACGTTAACAATGACTGTAGCTGAACGAGAGGGCTGCCCGTTGTCCTCCACTATAACAGTCAGTCTTTGTTTCACAGCATCTTTATCAGTCACCTGGCGGATAGTTCTTATTTCTCCATTCTGTAAGCCCACTTCAAACAGCGCCCTGTCTGTGGCTTTCTGCAGTTTATAGGAGAGCCAGGCATTCTGTCCAGAGTCCACATCAACAGCCACCACTTTAGTGACCAGATAGCCCACATCTGCTGAACGAGGCACCATCTCAGCCACCAGAGAGCCACCAGTCTGGACTGGGTACAGGACCTGAGGAGGGTTGTCGTTCTGGTCCTGGATCAGTATTTTAACTGTGGCCACTGAACTCAGAGGAGGGGATCCAGCATCGCGAGCAGTTACGTTAAATTCAAACCATTTGATTTGTTCATAATCAAAGGACCTTACTGCATGAATGACACCATTTTCTGAATTGACTGACACTAAGGAAGTCACAGCTGCCCCATTAATCTCTTTCTCCTCCAGAAAGTAAGAAACTCGAGCGTTTTGACCCCAGTCTGAATCACTAGCACTTAGAGTGAACACAGAAAACCCCGGAGAGTTATTCTCTGGTAAAGTCTTACTATATTCTGATTGGTCAAATCTGGGCGGGCTGTCATTCACGTCAAAAACTTTTACGTTAATGTTTTTACTGCTAGTCAGAGGCGGGGAGCCTTGGTCAGAGACGGTGATGGTGATATTATACTCAGGAATACTTTCTCTGTCTAAGTAGTCTTCGGTTACTATAGTATAATATCCTGTTAATGAGGACTCAATTTTGAAAGGTATGTCAGAGTTGATGAAGCACTTTACAACACCGTTACCATCAGAGTCTTCATCATCAACATTAATAACAGCTATAGTTGTACCTGGAGGAGAATCCTCAGATATAGAGTTAGAAAATGACATCAGCTGAATTGTAGGGACGTTGTCATTCTCGTCAATTATTTGAATAATCACTTTGCACGTATCTGAATATCCTCCATGATCACTAGCCTTAACGTTTAATTGAAAGGTCTTAGATTCTTCAAAATCCAGAATACCTGCAACTTTAATTTCTCCAGTTTTGACGTTTACTACAAAAATATTTGTTGCCTCTCTGGCAACATTAGCAATGGAATAAGATACTTCACCATTGACTCCTTTATCTGCATCAGTTGCACTCACAGAGGTAACCACTGTTCCTGTCGGAGAATTTTCCTTGACTTCTGCTTTATAAACAGGCTGGCTGCACACTGGCGCATTATCGTTAGCATCCAGCACAGTGATGTGAATGCGCACTGTCCCTGATCTGTGTGGCTCCCCTCCATCTGAAGCAATCAGCACGAGGTTGTGAGTCTCCTCTTTCTCCCGGTCTAACGGGGTTTGTAAAACCATTTCGATCACATTCTCTCCATCAGGCTGGATCTGCACTTCCAGTTTGAAATTATCTGAAGTTTTTAGCATGTATTTTTGAATATCATTAATTCCAACATCAGGGTCGTCTGCACTCTCTAGAGAGAAGCGAGAGCCTGATGCAGCACTTTCCACAATTTTTAAATGTATTTCCCCCTTTGGAAACGACGGACTGTTATCATTTATGTCTATCACCTCCACTGTTACACGGTAAAGCTGGATTGGGTTTTCTAAAATGAGCTCGAAACTGAAGCTACAGGGCGTCGTCTTTCTACACAGCTCTTCTCGGTCGATCCGCTCTTTAATAACAAGCGTGCCTTTGTCTCTGTTTAAATCAACGTACTGTCGGCTTCCTTTGGTAATAATACGAGCTTTACCTGATATGAGCCTCGTCACATCCAAACCTAAATCTCTAGCGATGTTTCCAACAAAAGAGCCTTCTGCCTGCTCTTCCGGTACGGAGTACCGAGCCTGTCCAGCTACTGAGCTCAGCTCGAACAGACAAAGAGTCACAAACAGTGCTTGCCATCGGCCTCTGCGCGCGGGTATCCACAAACAAGCCATCATAAATCCAGAGGTACGGACGCAGAAATCCCTTTCAAAGCAAAACTGATGTGAATAAATCCATGAATTGAATAGTAACTCTGTTTTCAGCAGAAATGTCCACGATAAATGCTGCTCTTTAAATCCTCACAGGCCACACCGTCTTCTCTCTAAGCAGCAAAAAACTGAATGGGAATAAAGGGGTGGACCACTGCACTGCTTATTTGGACAGTAGGTCAGTGATGTATCAAGAGCGGCGCTCAGAGCCCATCCACGGTAATGTATGTGGTGGTTTAAATATTATGAACAGTTTTAATATTATAATACAAGCGTTTGGATGCATATCGATATATAATGGGATGGTTTCTGACTTTAGACCTCAAAAAACAAAAACATATTAATAACAACAACAACACAACAAATTATAATTCCAACAACCTAACTGGTAAGGTAAATTGTATATTTGGAAATGCTGAGAGACGTTCTGTTGCTGTTATTATTATTATTATTGTTATTATTATTGTTATTATTATTATTATTATTATTTTTACGTAGGCAATTGATTCAGTATGTATACAAGGTTACAGATAAGAAAGTTAAAGGTCTTTGGAACAGAATTATTGTTCACTAAACAAGGAGCTGTACAACCATGGACCTGACCGCTTGCCCTTGTTCTCAGAAATAAACTGTAACCAAATACTATTTATCCAGAGAAACAATATTCATTAAGTAAATACTTTGCACATTGCACCTCACCTCAAGAGGAGAGTCAGGTTCATCAAGGATGCTCTTTTCACTCTGTATCCGCTGCATCGTCCCTGTAGATGTGGGGTCCATTATCAGTACGTTCTGACTACCGGTTGTGCCGAATTTACAGTCACTTTTTCTGGAGTCAGTCGTCCTGCACACCTCGTAATTGTACACGTGTTGGAGAGTCCCTGTCCCCAAAGTGTCTGAGTAACGTGGTGGATAATATGGAATCACAGGGAGATTGGAGTGATACAGGATGCGAGACTGTCTCCACCTGTAGATCTTCACTGATATAATAACCACTAAACACGTGATGAAGAGGAAGGACACTACAGCTAGAGCCAACACTAAGTAAAAAGTCAGGTTGTCATTGTAATCCTTGTCCTGTGTAAAGTCAGTGAACTCAGACAGTACTTCCGGAAAGCTGTCCGCCACCGCCACGTTAACAATGACTGTAGCTGAACGAGAGGACTGCCCGTTGTCCTCCACTGTAACAGTCAGTCTTTGTTTCACAGCATCTTTATCAGTCACCTGTCGGATAGTCCTTATTTCTCCATTCTGTAAGCCCACTTCAAACAGCGCCCTGTCTGTGGTTTTCTGCAGTTTATAGGAGAGCCAGGCATTCTGTCCAGAGTCCACATCAACAGCCACCACTTTAGTGACCAGATAGCCCACATCTGCTGAACGAGGCACCATCTCAGCCACCAGAGAGCCACCAGTCTGGACTGGGTAAAGAACCTGAGGAGGGTTGTCGTTCTGGTCCTGGATCAGCATTTTCACAGTCACATTGCTACTCAGAGGAGGAGAGCCTCCGTCCTGAGCTTTAACCCGGAAGTGGAAGTCTTTGATCTGCTCGTAGTCAAAAGAGCGCACTGCATGGATGACTCCACTATCAGCACTAACAGACACATAAGAGGAGACTGACACTCCGTTAAGAGAGGAGTCCTCCAGGATGTAAGAAACACGGGCATTCTGGTTCCAGTCAGCGTCTCTGGCTCTCACTGTGAATACAGAGAGGCCTGGTGTGTTGTTTTCTACAATGTAGGCCTCATATGAGCTGCTCTCAAAGACAGGCGCGTTATCATTCACATCAGAGATCTGTAAGGTGAGAGTGACGCTGCTGGAGAGGGAGGGCACTCCCTCATCGGAGCACGTCACTGTTATATTATACTCAGACAATCTCTCTCTGTCTAACTCACTATCTGTAACTAATCTATAAAAATCATTAGCGGATGTCTTTAAAGTGAATGGTACATTTTCGTTTATAAAACATTGCACTTTTCCGTTTTCTCCAGTGTCTTTGTCGTCAATATTTATCATTGTAACGACTGTGTCGAGTTTGGCATCCTCCGATATCACATTTGACTTAGACATTATGTTAATGTCGGGCTTATTGTCATTTACATCTTGCACGTCGACAACTAATTTACAGGAATCTGTGAGTCCTCCCTCGTCACTAGCACGTAGATTTATTTGAAAATGACGCGATTCTTCAAAATCAATATTTCCAATCAAAGTAACATCTCCATTTTCCTTGTTTATGCTAAACGTTTTTCTGACGTCGTCTAACGTATTTGTAATTGAATATGTTATTATACCATTAGAACCCTGATCTGCATCTGAAGCTGTGACAGTGGCAACAACTGTGCCTTTAGGTGAGTTTTCAGTTACTACAGTCTTGTATGTGGGCTGTGTAAAAACGGGGGCATTATCATTAGCATCCAAAACTGTAATAATAATCAGCATTGTTCCTGACATCTGAGGCTCTCCTCCGTCTACGGCCGTTAACACAAGAGATATATGCTCTTGTTTCTCTCTGTCTAAAGGCTTCTGTAGCACCATCTCAACGTTTTTATTCCCATCTGCGTTATTGTGGATTTTCAGAGCAAAATGATCAGTTGGTTTTAATTCGTATCTTTGAAGATCATTAAGTCCAACATCAAGATCGACACCTCTTTCCAGCACAAATTTTGCTCCGGTGATTGCTGACTCGCTGATTTTGAATTGGATTTCCCTTTCTTCAAAAGTGGGTGAATTATCATTGATGTCTGTTATCTGAACAATAACACTGTAAAACTCCATAGGATTCTCCAAAATAATCTGAAAATGTAAAGCACAAGGCGTCGTCTGTCTGCAGAGAGCCTCTCTGTCGATTCTCTGTTTGACGAGGAGGACTCCTCTTTCTCTGTTCAGCTCGATGTACTCGTCGCTGTCTCGGGTATAAATTCGAGCTTTACCAGAAGTCAAACGTTTGCTTTCCAAACCTAAATCTTGTGCTATGTTGCCTACTAAAGAGCCTTTTGCCATTTCCTCCGGTATTGTGTAGCTCACCTGCCCAATAACCGAGCCGAGCGAAAGGAGGGAGATGAACAACAGCACTTCTCCTTTCATTGTTCAATCCTTGGTTTTTTTCAGCAAAATTCCACAGTCTGGGTAAATATCCAACCAATTACAATCCACTCCAATGTCGAACGACAATTTCAAAGCTAAATACTCCACAGAGTAAATAGAAAAGTCTCAAATATCGCCTTGAGTTTTTTGATATTCAACACATCCCGAGTCAGTTGTCTTGCCGTCGTGTTCTCTCTTCTTTATGATGATGTTACATGGGAGGTGCTGCTACAGACCTACTCTCAGCCGTACACACTCTAGTCAACAGCGGCCCTAAGAGTCCACCATGGAAAACTGCAGCAAACCAACATCAACCAATCTGTCCAGCAGACTTATTGGAAATGTTTGATTTGAAATGAGGTAACACTAGTTACATAAATGGTCACATAAAAACAGTTTTATGGTCAAGATATCTCTCTTTTGTTTGACTCTTTAGCAATATAACTATGTTCCAGAAAACATACATCTGAAATAAATTGTAAATATAAAACAAATAGAAACAAATTGAAATCAATACTCACATAATCAAATAATGTAAAATAAAGGAATAGGGGGAAAAGCTGAAACCAAAAAAGTCGCTGTCCAGGGCACTGCAATTATTAAAGTCTAAAAACAGCCAACATTGCTGGCAAGCACAAGTCCTTTCATGCAGATACAAGTAATGCAAGTACCATGTGAGAATAATGATGTCAATGATTTTTATAAAAATATATTTATTGATGTATATTGTGAGAACATGTGTATAACAAGCCATCAATAAAAAACGTGTTGTCAGCTCAATATGAACGAAAATGTATTTAAATATCTTAAAATAAAAACAGCCAGTCAATACTGAGAACAATACTTCTCCAAAGCTATACTGACTCTAATATAAGTGCAGAAAACGACATATCCAGTTACCAATATTTTAAATTAAATGTTATACACTATAACTATAATATAATAGAGGGAACCTTTGACATGAACTTGAGGTGTTTAAAACTACATAAACTAGGTTTTTCTACCGAAAGCCATGCACGTGCACACATAGACATTAAAATGGGCTTGAGCCCCTGCCCTTTTACTTCCTCCAGAGAAACTTTCTCTGAGAAAGTGCCCTTTTCCCCCCCTTTTTTTATTTTTATAAATGAATATATATCTACTGCTGTTTGCGCACAGTTTCCCTTTCCAAAAATATATTGATTGAATACAAAATATCAGGTCGGGAGATTAGACTGTGAAGTTCCGTAGCTCTCCCTCCCTCCCTCCACGTCTCCCGCACAGCGGTGCAGACATCGGCAGTCACTTCAGACATACATGTAGCAGCACCTCCCACTTTACTGTCCCATGTTATGCCGGCTTTTCTTGGTTTATTTTGAAGGTGACTGGTGATGAACAAATTACTAAACTGCCAGTGCCTCGAGTTTACAGCTAATTAGCTAAAAGACAATAACAAATATAGTTAACTAAGGTAGGCCACTAGCTAATGGCTAAGTTAGCTCAAGGTTTAGCTAAGGCAATTTATCATGGGCATACAGGCTAATGTAGGCTACTGTACTTAAGGGTAGACACTAAAGGTGAATACAGTAAAATGTGTATCTAATAACGTCCTCACAATCGCCACATTGATATGCAAATTAGGCGTGAACTAGGCCTAATTAAAATGCGCTAATTTGCATGCAGGTGAAAAGGATCAAACAAAAAAACATATCACCTCACAACTTCCCCAGATAGTTACTTACGTCAAATCAGTATTTTCCCCGGAAATGTTTTGTTAAATGCAGATTAGCTTTAAATCTATAGATGAATTCAGACATGGTAATAAAACGAACACCATGTATATGTGTTTCTTGGAAGTTTTATTTCCATTAGAGTGAAAGAAAACATGGAAGCAAAATAGACCAAAAGAACAAGTACAT